CGTATCCAGGTGGAAAAAGGCTATAATGTACTCCGACTATAACGAAAAAAAAACCTTTGATTATGATTTCATGTTGGTCAAACTAGCCGAGCCTGCCCAGTTCAATAAGTACGTTCAACCCATCCCACTAGCCACATCCTGTCCAACAGTAGGAAGCAATGCCTGGTGTCAGGCTGGGGAAACACAAGGATCATTGGAGGTAAGTTCATTTTCTGGACTTTATTATTATTCATTTTAAAGCTGAACATCATTCAGTAAAAACATCAAATTCAGTTAATCAAAGGACCTAATGATAAATAAATACACAAAATAAAGCAAATAAAAAATGAGTGCAGGCAGGGTCTGTTTTAATATTGGACCTATACAACCTGCATGGCAGCAGACTGGGAGAGGTAGGGCGAGGCTGTGTTGCATTGCACATGTAATGACTACAAATATGCTGAACGGAGAAAACAGCAGAATGATGACTTATCAGCGTGGTTGCTCCTTTACTGTCCAGTCAGCAGGCCAGTGTTATCTTAACTTTTGTACAACCCTCCTGATACAAATGTAAAGTGGCAAAAGAGCTTTAGCATCCACACACTGGCACATATGCATTGCTGGATGGCCGATGTTTATGTGCCGATAGCGTGCTCACTGCAACAAAAATAACTGTCAATTAGTAAATTCAATAAGTGCATACAAAAAATGCAAAAAGCTCCCAAACAATCACAAAAGCTTAAGTTATAAACAGGAGCGGACTGACAACTCATGGGGCCCCCCGGGAAATAGGGGATCATGGGGCCCCGGTGTCCTTACTCAAACTCAAAAAAAAAGCCTATGAAAAAGGTACCAGGGGCATCTCATGGGGCCCCCTACTGAATTTTCAAATGGTCAGTCCGTCCCCCCTGGTTATAGATCCTTCACAATTCTCTACAATATTTTAGTAATGCATGCACTTATTGATATGTTACTGGACTTGCCCAAATTAGTGCAGCTACTGCAATTTGCTTTCCAGAGTTCTACTCCTCTTTCTTGCATTGTAGGAATATCCTTTTTTAAAAATTATGTCTGTAAAAATAAGATCTTATAGGCATTGGTAGGTTTTCAGAACTGGTAGGTTGTTCAGAAGTCTAAGCAGTATTTAACTCGTAATGTTTTGCAATGCCGGGCATGGTAGGAAAGGTCAATCACCAATGGGCACACCACAACACAAACAACAGAACACAAAACTAAGTATTTCCCCAAAGCAAACCACCAAAACCACTACAACCTATAAGTGAAAGGTCTTAACCTTAACAACGTGGTTATTTCAAAAATGATTTACACAGTAACCTTCCTCCCAGTGACCAATAAGATCAATTAATGCAAACCCATGAACCGCATTACCTACAAAATTAGAAGAATGTACATGCATTCATAATGATTTTTAAGTCAATTACCAATAAAAAAACAAATACCCCAACCATTCCCTACCATAATTTTAAAGCAATTCATCACTTATCAATATGTTTGTAACAGCAAATACAATTTCATGAAATTTTAAGATTATTAAACATAAATTAGCCCAAGCTGGAAACATACATCAACGTGAAAACTGGGAGGGCAAAAGAGATCTTTAAGTTAACATAGGAAGTGTGCAGAGGACACAGGACAGCTCTTATTTTATTATATTAATATTATTGTAAGCTCGTAAGAGTAGGGCCCTCACCAGCGACTGGGTCTGTCTTTGTTGTATGTGCCATGCATTGCCCCCCTATTGTACATGCTACAAACCCTTTGGCTGCTAATTCTGTACTTAATAAAGCAAATGATTATTTATCAGGTACTGCTAGTGCATTCACTTTATGCAGCACTTTACATATATACAGGTGAAACTTGAAAAATTAGAATATCATACAAAAGTTCATTTATTTCAGTAATGCAACTTAAAAGGTGAAACTAATATATGAGATAGACTCATTACATGCAAAGCAAGATAGTTCAAGCCGTGATTTGTCATAATTGTGCTGATTATGGCTTACAGCTCATGAAAACCCCAAATCCACAACCTCAGGAAATTAGAATATTGGAAAAGGTGCAATATTCTCGCCTCAAAGTGTCCCACTCTAATCAGCCACCGTATTTTTCGCTCCATAAGATGCACCTGACCATAAGACGCACCTAGGTTTTAGAGGCAAAAAACAAGAAAAAAAAATATTCTGAACCAATGGACTGCGGACACAGTACAGGAGATGACCAGAGACTGCAGACACAGTACAGGGGATGACCAGAGACTGCAGACACAGTACAGGAGATGACCAGAGACTGCTGAACAGTACAGGAGATGACCAGAGACTGCGGACACAGTACAGGGGATGACCAGAGACTGCAGTAGTACAGGAGATGACCAGAGACTGCTGACACAGTACAGGAGATGACCAGAGACTGCGGACACAGTACAGGAGATGACCAGAGACTGCGGACACAGTACAGGGATGACCAGAGACTGCGGACACAGTACAGGAGATGACCAGAGACTGCGGACACAGTACAGGAGATGACCAGAGACTGCGGACACAGTACAGGGGATGACCAGAGACTGCGGACAAAGTACAGGGGATGACCAGAGACTGTGGACAGTACAAGGGATGACCAGAGACTGCGGGTTACAGTACAGGAGATGACCAGAGACTGCGGACACAGTACAGGAGATGACCAGAGACTGCGGACACAGTACAGGGGATGACCAGAGACTGCAGACACAGTGACAGGCAGACAGTGCAGGGAATGACCAGAGACTGCAGACAGTGCACACAGTACAGGGGAGGGATGACCTGAATTTGACAGGTACCCGCTCCCACTTCCGCGGACACAGTACAGGGGGCTGTGACCAGAGATGCTGCGCTGTGCAAACCTGTACAGGGGATGACCAGAGACTGTGGACACAGTACAAGGGATGACCAGAGACTGCGGACACAATACAGGAATGACCAGAGACTGCGGACACAGTACAGGAGATGACCAGAGACTGCGGACACAGTACAGGGGATGACCAGAGACTGCGGACACAGTGCAGGGAATGACCAGAGACTGCAGACAGTGCAGGGAATGACCAGAGACTGCAGACAGTGCAGGGAATGACCAGAGACTGCAGACAGTGCAGGGAATGACCAGAGACTGCTGACCTTTGGGGAGGGAGGGGGAGCGGGTACCTGAATTTGACAGGTACCCGCTCCCACTTCCGGAGTTGTCCTTACCTCTTCTTCCCTAAGCCGGCTTCTGTGACAGCCGGGTGCCCACTGCGCATGCGTGAGAAGCGCTGCGCTTTGTGAATGGCCCGGCGCCTTCTGGGACCTGTCATGTGTCCCAGAAGACACCGGATCATTCACAAAGTGCAGCACATGCGCAGTGGGCACCCGGCTGTCACAGAAGCCAGCGCGGGAAGACTGTGCAGCGCTGGAGCGAGGAACAGGTTAGGCCCTGCAGGAGAGAACAGCTGAGCGGACGGCCCGGTATTCTGACATGGTGGCCGCAAAAATACCGGACTGGCCTCTTTATATTCGCTCCATAAGACGCACTGACATTTCCCCCCCTTTTTTGGGGGGAAAAAAGTGCGTCTTATGGAGCGAAAAATACGGTAATTAAGCCATAACACCTGCAAAGGGTTCCTGAGCCTTTAAATGGTCTCTCAGCCTGGTTCAGTAGGAATCACAATCATGGGAAAGACTGCTGACCTGAGAGTTGTGCAGAAAACCATCATTGACACCCTCCATAAGGAGGGAAAGCCTCAAAAGGTAATTGCAAAAGAATTGGATGAACCCAAAGTGCTGTATCAAAGCACATTAATAGAAAATTATGTGGAAGAGAAAAGTGTAGAAGAAAAAGGTGCACAAGCAGCAGGGATGACCGCAGCCTGGAGAGGATTGTCAGGAAAAGGCCATTCAAAAGTGTTGGGGACTTTCACAAGAAGTGGACTGAGGCTGGAGTCAGTGCATCAAGAGCCACCACACAGAGAGACGGATCCTGGACATGGGCTTCAATTGTCGTATTTTTCTTGTCAAGCCGCTCCTGAACAACAAAACAACATCAGAAGCGTCTTACCTGGGCTAGAGAAAAACAGACCTGGTCTGTTGCTCAGTGGTCCAAAGTCCTCTTTTCTGATGAGAGCAACTTTTGCATCTCATTTGGAAACCAAGGACCCAGAGTATGGAGGAAGAATGGAGAGGCACACACTGCAAGATGCTTGAAGTCCAGTGTGAAGTTTCCACAGTCTGTGTTGATTTGGGGAGCCATGTCATCTGTTGGTGTTGGTCCACTGTGCTTCATTTAGTCCAGGGTCAATGCAGCCGTCTACCAGGAGATTTTGGAGCACTTCATGCTTCCTTCGGCAGATGAGCTTTATGGGGATGCTGACTTCATTTTCCAGCAGGACTTGGCACCTGCCCACACTGCCAAAAGCACCAAAACCTGGTTCAATGACCATGGGATTATTGTGCTTGATTGGCCAGCAAACTCGCTGACCTGAACCCCATAGAGAATCTATGGGGCATTACCAAGAGAAAGATGAGAGACATGAGACCAAACAATGCAGAAGAGCTGAAGGCCGCTATTGAAGCATCCTGGTCTTCCATAACACCTCATCAGTGCCACAGGCTGATAGCTTCCATGCCACGCCGCATTGAGGCAGTAATTGCTGCAAAAGGGGCCCAAACCAAGTACTGAGTACATATGCATGCTTCTTCTTTTCAGAGGTTGATTGCATGTAATATTCTAATTTTCTGAGATTGTGGATTTGGGGTTTTCATGAGCTGTAAGCCATAATCATCACAATTATGACAAATCACAGCTTGAACTATCTTGCTTTGCATGTAATGAGTCTATCTCATATATTATTTTCATCTTTTAAATTTGCGTTACTGAACTATACTGTAATTGATAACAATATATTATACTTTTTTTTAGTGAAATATGCTACAAAATTACAGTGTCTCGATCTCCCTGTTTTGTCGGACTCCAGCTGTAAATCTTCTTATCCAGACATGATCACTTCAAATATGTTTTGTGCTGGTTACCTAGAAGGGGGAAAAGACTCATGCCAGGTGAGTATTAAAGATATATAGTAAAAATAATAGTCATAAATATCTTTATATTATATTTTTTTAGATGGTAGTTATATCCATAGCAGACCATGTGACTGCTATAGGACCAATGGCAGAACTACCAACTGGACTATGGTACCCAGGGCAGAAAGGGGCCCATTCAGGACCAGAAGGAGTAAGTTGTGTCACTTAAAGCAGAACTGAAGCCATCAATGCGATGAATAACTGTTACAGTTGGTTGTGCTCTCAATCAGTGGCGTCCCGAGGCAGGTGAGGGATGTGCGGTCCGCACCGGGTGACACCGACCGCACGGGGTGACACCGGACCCGCTCCACAAAAAAGTAAGTTGTAAATCAAGCCGACGATCCCCGCAGGATGGATCTGATCCATCCTGCAGGGATCGTCGGCTTTCTTTACAACCTACCTTTTCTTGGAGTGGGTCCGGTGTCACCCCGTCATGCTCGTCGGCATGCAACCTATACGGGGTGACACCGGACCTGCTCCAAGAAAAGGTAAGTTGTAAAGAAAGCCGATGATCCCCGCAGGATGCATCGGATCTGCGGATTGAGCATAATGGATCAGAGTCCGATCCATTATGCTCAATCCGCAGATCCGATCCATTCTGCGGGGATCGTCGGAGGGGGTGTCACCAAGTGTTACCGCACCGGGTGACACCTACCCTAGGGACGCCTCTGTTCTCAATCAAACTGTCAAACTATCAACTGGCTGGAGTCATAAGTTATTGCCCAGTTGATAGTATTGTGCTGTTTCTCCCCTCCTCTTCTCTGTCAAAGTGAGGCAAGTGCAGGACTTGGAAATGTCGAATAATCTCCTCCCAAGAGGAGTTGAAACATTATCACTGCCATCAATGAAGTGGGGAAAAGGGGTGTTATAATTGCACTGTATATTTGTAACCCCCTCTTTCTCAAGCTTCATTAGTAACAGTGTAATGTAGACTGCTGATGTCACCAAGCCAAGAAAAGAGGATATTTGGGGGGTTCAGTAGGCATAGCTGCCGGGCACAGTTTTGTCAAGTGAGGGGTAAGGAGGAAGCTGTGTGTCCCAGCCCGATCCAGACCTCCATTAGCACAGGATGGAACATGATTTGATGGCTCACTTGTTTGCCACTGTGATTGGTAAACACATAAGCCGGAAGAGGAAGGCTTCCACTATTCGATGGCTTCCACTACTACAACTGCAGCTCCGACTGATGACATCTATCGCAGAGCAAGGGCAGAGGAAGCGAGTAGTGGAAGACTTTCTATGCCAGTTTCCACGTTTACAAACAACAACAATGTTCTGGTGAAATATCAAATCCTGTGTGGGAAAATGTGTCTGAGCAGCACTACATTCAAATTGAAAAAATGGGGTTGACATATACCTCCATTCAGCCATAACATTATAGCCACTGAGAGATAAAGTGAATTTTTGGGTACAATGGTAAATATAAACCATCCTACAGCTTCTGAAAGTAAATATATACTTTCAGAAGCTGTAGGATGGTTTATTCCATACAAGTAAACACAAAACTTGATTATTAGTGGTCGTATCCTTAAAGTACTTTCCTGCATTGATGTATCTCTTTTTTCACAGGGGGATTCTGGTGGACCACTGGTCTGCAATGGTCAGCTGTATGGAGTGGTCTCCTGGGGTAGAAACTGTGCCTGGCGTGGATTTCCTGGTGTCTACAACAAAGTCTGCATCTATTCTGACTGGATTAAGAATGTTATGGAGAATAACTGAAGCCAATATTATACCTAAGCAAACGTAAAATAAAGCATAGTGCATGTTCCCAGCATCTCCGAGTGTCCGTATTCCTTTTACTGCCTTTGGTTTTTAGGACTCTTGTGTGCATAACAAAATGCAAAAATGTCTTTAAGCCACCAAGGTTTTTTTTACAAAAGGAGATTGTTATATTTTTACCAAGCCATGCAGCTATTGTAGTGATACAGCTAAAGACAGAGAATCTGTATAGACACCTTTAGTTCAGAGAAGTCAGATAATAACATCAAGGTAACCACTTAATGTGCAGGTCCATGCGTACTTCTACTTGTGCTATATTGACACTTTTGTTGGTTATTTTTATAGGCTTTTTATGAGTGTGGGCAAGGACACAGGGGCCCCATGATCCCCTATTGTCCGGGGGCCCATGAGTTGTCAGTCCGCCCCTGCATAGCTTAATGATACAACCAACATTTCCAATAGCTGTAGCTGTATTCCTCATTCTTAGACTAGAGTTGATGTGCACATTAAAAGAAACCTGCCATAAAAGAAGCATAGGGGCTACCATTGCTCTGTTCTCTTTTGAAAAATGCTATTTAACTGGTTGTCCTGCTTACCCTGTTGCATCAACAATTTCAGGAGCTTCCTGTAACGAAGACCGGTCACTGCTGCTCTCACTTCTGGTGCAAGGTGACTGAATTTGTATCTGTCCCCTCCTGTAGATTTCTGCTGGCAGCCCGTACATAGCCCTAACATAGAAAGAAGGTAGTAGTTGATCCACAGTTCCCAAACTTTTCACCTCTTTTTCATAGTGGCAGTCTGTATTTCTGTATAAGTTTCTCATACAAAATAACGCAAGAAACCTGGTGTTTGACTTCCACAGAAGGTAGTGTGGGGAACTTCCAGGCTTCGATCCATATGACTTCCATCTGAATTTGGGTGACCAGCTAAAATTGGGTATTGGTACACCAAACCTGTGAGCCTTCTGGGGGTGCATCCTGATGCCCTGGGTCGCTGGAAGTGAGTTGAATGACACTAGAAGGTATTTATCCCAAAGACTATCATCATCCTTTGGGAAGAAGGGATACTGCAGGAAACAACTCTGGACAGAAGGTGGATATTGCAGCCAGAGCTGCTTTTTCTTTTCATTTTTTTATGTGAAGGGCTCCCTTTTTCCAAAGATGCATGGTAACTCAAATGCTGAGGGAAGTCATAAGAGTTATAGCCAGAACCTGGAAGTCCCTAACACCACCTTTCATGGAAGTCAAACACAGGAATTCTCCGGTTATTTTCAATGAGAAACTTACAGCTATACAAACTGACACTATAAAATATTCATAAAAAGTATGGGAACCATGGGCTGAGTTCTGCTTTTCACAGCAACTCCCTGACATTTTGAAATTAGAACACCTAGCTTTGTTCTAAAGCAGGGCTCTTAAATATTTCTAAACATAGAGACAATTTATTGTTCTTTAGACTTTGTGGGGACCAGATTTTGGACAGGAGGGTAGAAAATGTGTCGGAATGTTTTGCTTTGTGTCTATTAAGCTATTTGCATTATAAGGCAGGAAAGCAATTAAAACTCTGCAGTATATCAATACTTTTATCAAACAGAAAAGCTCCACATCCAACTGCAAGATACACAATTCATAGTATACAAAGTATCACAAAATACACATATAATATACACATGCCCAAACTATCTATCCTTCCCAGCAAACTAGCATGGATAATGAATGCAATAAGTATACTAAGCAGCTACTTAACTTGGTTTTTGATGGAGTCTTCTTATGGTTCCTTCCTTCTCATAGTCTTGATAACAACTGTTTCTTCTATGAAGTCTCCAGAACAACTCCCTTTCTTCCTAAGCACATGACCCAAAAATCCTCCTTCCCTCCCTCTACTCTTGCTATCTCATTTCCTGTATTGAGCTTCATAAAGCAGCCCAACAGGTTAATTAGCATATCGATAGAGGAGGTCTAGCTTCTAAAAACACATGGTCTTAAAATCTTCAAGCAGTTCACATATCCAAGCTATAAAATCACCCAACATAGCCATAGCTACACAGGTTGCTGGGCATTAACTTTCTTTTGACAGACAATGTGAAGAGCTATGGACGCTGGCATTATCAGCCTTCCATGGGACACACAAACTAGATCAGTGATGGCGAACCTTTTTGAGCCCGAGTGCCCAAACTGCAACACAAAACCAACTTTTTTATTTCAAAGTGCCAACACTGGAATTAATCACTTGCCTACCGGGCACTTCTACCCCCTTCCTGCCCAGGACAATTTTCAGCTTTCAGTGCTGTTGCACTTAACAAAGACAATTGTGCGGTCATGCAACACTGTAACCATATGCAATTTTATATCATTTTTTCACACAAATAGAGCTTTTTTTGGTGGTATTTAATCACCACTGGGTGTTTTATTTTTTGCACTATAAATGAAAAAAGAGCAAAAAATTAAAAACATAAAAGGTTTCCTTTGCTTCTATTCTAAAATTTTGCAAACAGGTAATATTTCTTCTTTGATGTGCGTTGGTGAGGCTGCACTGATAGGCAGCACTGATGGGCATTGATGAGGCGGCACAGATAGGTAGCACTGATGAGGCGGCACTGGTGAGCATTGATGAGGAGGCTCTGATGATGCACTGATATGCAGGAAATAATGGGCACTGATAAGCGGCACTGACAGCACCAACTGGAGGCACTGACAGACGGCACTGACCGGCGGCACTGCTGGGCATCATTGATGGGTGGCACTGATGGGCAGCACTAATGAGATGTCACAGATAGGTGGCACTGATAGGCGACACTGATAATGGGTACTGATAGACAGCACTGATAGGTGGCACTGACTGACATCACTGCTGGGCACTGACTGGCACAACCGCTGGGCACTGACTGGTGGCACTGACTGGCAGCACTGCTGGGCTGCACTGATGGGCACTGGTGGGTGGCACTGGTGGGCACAGGTGGGCGGCACAGGTGGGCACTGGTGGGTGCATTGCTGGGCACAGGTGGGCGCACTGTTGGGCACAGGTGGGTGCATTGCTGGGCACAGGTGGGCGCACTGCTGGGCACACGTGGGTGCATTGCTGGGCACAGGTGGGCGCACTGCTGGCACAGGTGGGCGCATTGCTGGGCACAAGTGGGCGGAACTTGTGTGTGGCACAGGTGGGCACCGATCATCAGGGCACTGATGATCAGTGACCCTGATGGTCGGTGCCGATCCCTGTTCTGACAACTGCCGGTTTTCGGCAGTACTTTCCTCACGATCTGACAGCGTGAGGAAAGTGCAGCCGAGAACCGGCATTTGCATTTCCCGGTGATCAGCGTGTCATTGGACACGGCTGATCACGTGCTAAAAGGCCGCTGTGATTGGCCTTTTACCATGTCACGTGATCAGCTGTGTCCGCAGGACACAGCGATCACGGAGATCGCCCGGTGCGCGCCCCCGGAGGTGCGCAGGAGAGCGCGTTCTCTTCCTCTTCCTCTCTTCCTCCTGGCGTGCCCACTGAGATGGCTCTGCGTGCCATAGGTTCGCCATCACTGAACTAGATGGAGCTTTGCTGTCACATGGTTGCATAGAAAAATGTAAAAAGATGTTCAGAAAGCAGTTTATTAGGAAATGTAAGCAGAGAGGATCATAGTAAAAGGAGAAGGAACATTTAACAGGTGAGTCATTGTGAAGCTTTTACTTTCAAACTAAAAGCAACTTCTTGAAAGAATACAGCTCTGTCCTAAACTGATTCCCTTTAAGTATATCTAAACACAATAACATATGTAATCAGGGGTGGACTGACAACTCATGGGGCCCCCGGGCAATAGGGGATCATGGGGCCCCTGTGTCCTTGTCCAAACTCAAAAAAAAAGCCTATGAAAAAGGTACCAGGGGCATCTCATGGGGCCCCCTACTGACCCCGGTCCCTCGGGCAGTGCCCGAGTTTCCAAATGGTCAGTCCGCAAATGTATGTAATTATGTTGCATCTCACCGGTCCATAGATGTGGTGGTTGCATTAGTTTTCTTTTTTCAGGCTAAGTACTCTTTTGAAAGTGCAAAAATATATCTGTTGATCCTGTCAGAACCTGGTGTCGTCATAACTTCCTGAGCACGAAAATGAAGTCTTAAAAAAATGTTATCAGCCTTTCCAGCTAGTCTCTGTGAACTACAAAAAATGCCTCTCCCTAGAGAGAAAAGGAGTGGGGAAGATGTTTGTAGTTCAAAACAGGAAAGCAACATAAGGTGATAACACTGCTACTTCAAAAATACGAGTGATCGCTGTTCCTCCATAGCACTACCCCCTTAGGAGTCACTGAGTTTTCTGGTCCCCCTATAGTCCTGCACAGCCAGGCAACAAGCACCCCTCTTCCACACACTTGCACACTGGAGACAGCAAACAGTCCCTGAGCCTGTCCCTGCAGTTCCATTAGGGGCAATGAACCTGGATGGGGTTGAGGGGTGCATGGAATGCCCAAGGAACTGCAGAAACTTGAGGGCAAACTCCTTATCAACTATGCACAGATGTGAATAAGAGAATGAAAGTCTGTCCTTTGAAGAGCTCTCCAGCCCCTTCGGTGCACCCCCCTAACCAGAACCCAGATGAACTCCCCACCAAGGTGTCTGAGGGAATCCCTGAGCAAGGGGATCCAGAATCTGCCACTTTAGCAAAGCAGCCCCAGATGAGCAGCCAGTTGGGTTAGCTACCAGACCGCCTTCTCCCTCTACCCGGCCCAGGGTGCTCAGTACCACCCACCCCATCCTCTCCTGTAATCTTGTGGTTCGGTGACTGCCTTCATGCCCCAAACTAGGCTGGCGCCTTCCCTGTTTCCCAGGCTGTCCTCTCTCAGGGGACGGTTTAGGCTGGGAGATCATCCTTCCTAGTTCCTGCCTGCAGGTAGGCCCCTCCCTGGGCCCCTCCCAGGCTCCAAACTCATGCCCTCTCACATCATCTTTCACCCGACACTGACTTACTCCTACCAGGCTCTCCCATACTTAAGGGCTGCCCGACCCCATGCCAAGCCATCCCCTGAGTATGCATATCAGCCCCTACTCACTTTCACCCACTGCCTTCTAGAAACTTCTCAAGCTTCTAGAAGAGGGGGGAGGTATCAGGGAACTGACCTGCAAAGCCCTCAGCCCTGACCTAAAGTGAACCTGGCTGATTCATCTCAGGCTGACTAACACCAGGCTGCTATCCAGCCTCTAGCTGAAAACCTATCTAGTTCCTTCTAGCTAACCAGAGGGGTGCTACACATAAATACAATGAGTGAACATTGCTCCTCCATAAATACAAGGTGTGAGTGTTGCCACCAGGGGTGAAATGACCATTTGGAAACTCGGGCACTGCCTGAGGGCCCAGGGTCAGTAGGGGGCCCCATGAGATGCCCCTGGTACCTTTTTCATAGGCTTTTTTGAGTTTGGGCAAGGACACAGGGGCCTCATGATCCCCTATTGCTTGGGGGCCCCATGAGTTGTCAGTCCGCCCCTGGTTGCCACCCTAGAACAAGACGTGTGTTACTGGTAGTTTGACCAGGTAAAAATAAAAAGGAAAAAAGCCTCAGAGAAGGAAACTAATGCAATCACAACAAAGGATTGACAGGTTGAAATATCTCAGATTATCGTGTTTGGGCATAGATACAGGTCAACTCTGTGTGGTGCCTGTGTGCACAATTTGCTGTATTTCAAAGTGAAACTATTCACCACATGATGACCAGGCGTTACGATGTTCTGCAACTTCTGAGAAAAAAGGTATGCACATAGACATCTGATATGCCTGGACCTGTTCATTGGTTAAACAGCAACAAAACACACATACAGTATACATATACAGTAAAGATAACCGCTACTTTATTAAGAGATGTCTTCCAGCTGTCTGGAGGTTTCAATTGAAACCCATGCACAAAATTTGCAACTTGTTAAGGTAAAGCATGAAGAAGCCATACATGTGCAGTGGATGGATTTTTAAGGGTTTATATTTAAAAGTGAAGTATGGCCTTAAAAATGAAAATCACTCGCCTAGGTGGATGCTGCATGTGTCCACTGCTGGCTCTGAAGTCATAACTGAGCAATCAAACAATGCTGATTGCTCAGTTCTCCCCTCCACTCTGAGCAGAGAGCTGGGACTGTCAGGGCTCTCTGCCCTGTACTTCCTGCACGCACTGGAGCGTTGGGCTGTGAAGGGGCAGGAGGGCTTGATCAGGCTCTCTGCAGATCACCTGTCCAGGCTTCTGGGTGGATCCGGACCATATGGTCAGGATCTCTTAGAGCCTGGATCGGCTGAGTGATTTCAGTCGATGGTGGAGCTTAGATGGTGGCTATACCTCCTCCCCAAACTGAAGCCCAATTTATGGGCATTCCTATGAAGAAGAAAAAACACAGCACTGTAGCCACCACCATTTTTCTTTGTTGAGCGGAACTGCTATGAATTTAGAGTTCATTACTTTTACACATATATTTACACACACCAAGTGCACACACTCTAGGGCAGGGGTGGGCAATTGTAGCCCTCCAGCTGTTGGTCCCATCATGCCTCTGCCTTTGGGAGACATGCTCGTAACTGTCAGTTTTGCAATGCTTCATGGGACTTGTAGTTCTACAACAGCTGGAGGGCCACAGTTGCCCACCCCTGGTCTAGGGACAAATATCAGAACTCCATTGTACTCAGAGTGTGACCCAGCCCACGTTCTTTGACATAATAGATATTGATCTATGATGTACATAAGATAGGGGTGAGTAGATATTGAGGATGTAGTCAGTCGTCAACCATAATACAATCAGCCGTGTTTTATGACATATTTTAAGTTGTATCTTTGAATAAATTATCTACATTTGAAACAAAAGTTCTAGTGTACAGTTGCAAGAAAAAGTATGTGAACCCCTTGGGATTACGTGGAGTTTTGCATGAATTTGGTATAAAATGTGCTCTGAACGTCATCTAAGTCACAACAACAGAAGAACACAGTCTGCTGAACATAATACTACACAAACATTAGATGTTGCCATGGTTTAATTGCACATAACATATAAACATTCACAGTGCAGGGAGGAAAAAGTTTGTGAGGCCCTAGCTTAATGACTTCTCCCAGAGCTAATTGGAGCCAGGAGTGAGCCAACCTTGACTCCAATCAGTGTGATGATATTTGATGTGTTGCTGACAGCTGTCCTGCCCTTAAAAACACACACCTGTTTTGGGTTTACTGGTTTCAAGATGCACTGACTGATGTGAACCATGCCTCGCAGAAAAGAGCTCTCAGAAGACCTACGATCAAGAATTGTTGATTTGCATGAACCTGGAAAGGGTTACAAAAGTATCTCCAAAAGCCTTGTTGTTCATGTGTCCACGGTAAGACAGACTGTATACAAATGGAGAAAGTTTAGCACTGTTGCTACTCTCCCTAGGCGCGGTCGTCCTGTAAAAATGACTGCAAGAGCACAGCGCAGAATGCTGCATGAGGTAAAGAAGAATCCCAGAGTGTCAGCTAAAGACCTACAGAAATCTCTGGCACATGCTAACATTTTTGTTGACACATCTACAATAAGGAAAACATTAAACAAGAATGGAGTACATGGGAGGACACCACGGAGGAAGCCATTGCTGTCCAAAAAGAATATTGCAGCACATTTGAAGTTTGCAAAAGAGCACCTGGATGTTCCACAGCACTACTGGCAAAATATACTGTGGACAGATGAAACCAAGATTGAGTTGTTTGGGAAGAACACACAACACTATGTGTGGAGAAAAAAAGGCACAGCACACCAACATCAAAACCTCATCCCCACTGTAAAACATGGCGGAGGGAGCATCATGGTTTGGGGCTGCTTTGCTGCCTCAGGGCCTGGACAGATTGTTGTCATTGATGGGAAAATGAATTCCAGAGTTTATCAAGACATTTTTCAGGAAAACGTACGACCATCTGTCCGCCAACTGAAGCTCCGCAGAGGATGGGTGATGCAACAGGACAATGACCCAAAGCATACAAGTAATTCAACAAAACAATGGCTGCAACAGCACAGAATACGCCTTCTGGAGTCCTGACCTCAACCCGATTGAAATGCTGTGGCATGACCTTAAGAGAGCGATTCACACCAGACATCCCAAGAATATTGCTACACTGAAACAGTTTTGTGAAGAGGAGTGGTCCAAAATTACTCCAGATCGTTGTGCAGGTCTGATCTGCAACTACAGGAAACGTTTGGTTGAGGTTATTGCTGCCAAAGGAGGGTCAACCAGTTATTAAGTCCAAAGTTTCACATACTTTTTCCTCCCTGCACTGTGAATGTTTACATGTTATGTGCAATTAAACCATGGCAACATCTAATGTTTGTGTAGTATTATGTTCAGCAGACTGTGTTCTTCTATTGTTGTGACTTTCAGAGCACATTTTATGCCCAATTCATGCAAAACTCCACATAATCCCAAGGGGTTCACATACTTTTTCTTGCAACTGTATGTGTTCCTACAAAGTCTCAGTGATAATTTTCCTTTAGTGTCAAACACTATAATGCACATACAGTCAGGTCCATAAATATTGGGACATGGACACAATTCTAACATTGTTGGCTCTATACACCACCACAATGGATTTGAAATGAAACAAACAAGATGTGTTTTAACTGCAGACTGTCAGCTTTAATTTGAGGGTATTTACATCCAAATCAGGTGAACGGTGTAGGAATTACAACAGTTTGCATATGTGCCTCCCACTTGTTAAGGGACCAAAAGTAATGGGACAGAATAATAATCATAAATCAAACTTTCGCTTTTTAATACTTGGTTGCAAATCCTTTGCAGTCAATTACAGCCTGAAGTCTGGAACGCATAGACATCACCAGACTCTGGGTTTCATCCCTGGTGATGCTCTGCCAGGCCTCTACTGCAACTGTCTTCAGTTCCTGCTTGTTCTTGGGGCATTTTCCCTTCAGTTTTGTCTTCAACAAGTAAAATGCATGCTCAATCGGATTCAGGTCAGGTGATTGA